GAACAAACGTAACGAGTATCCTCTCGTCTAATATAGTAACGTATAAAATAACGATTTATCATGCTCTGGACTAAAATCTTTAAAAACGATGAATCGCAATATTTCTCTTTGCTATATTGCTGCTTGGTACATATATGAAAAGAGCCAAATATGAATTTGCATACGAATTTGCATATATGCTTGAAGATTCGAAAATATATAAAGTTGATAATGTGCAATCTCGAATAAGAATAGAAGTGATCGATAATCGAGATAAGAGAGAAAGAGAGAGAGACATCTGTGTAAGAGATAGAGGCATGTATAAAGTAGAGCTAAAAAAGTGTGCGTATTTTTAAAAACCACGATTTTATCAGGACATTAATTAGCTTACATGTTTAGAGCATCCACTTTGAGGGAGTGCTACATCAAATTAACTTAATAAATCAATTTAATAAACCACATGTACAGTCCGTTGAAAATCCATTACGGATTACTTTGTGGGATCATTGGGGCGTATGCGTCCGTACATTTAGGGATGAATTTACGACGAAATTACTTCACAAGTCATCTTCTCGATTTTAAATCATCTATTTTTCACAGCGTTAACGATTTCTATCTCTCTCTGTCTCTCTCTCTCTCTCTCTCCCTTCCTTGATCTTATCCAGAACAAATCTAAATTTATTTGGGCGTAGTTGCTGTCCAAACATTTAGGGATGAATTTACGACGAAATAACTTCACAAATCACATTCTCGATTTTAAATCATCTATTTTTCACAGCGTTAACGATTTCTATTTCTTTCTTTCCCTCCCTTGATCTTATCCAGAACAAATCTAAATTTATTTGAGCGTGATTGCTGTCCGAATTTCGATCAAAATAATTTTAGAATATCGTCGATGTGCGAAATCGATCGATACTCGTCCGATTGTAATGCAAAAGTCGCTTTATTTAATTTTCAAAGTGAAAATTAAGCGGTAAATTCAAGCGCGTTTTGCCATCGACACATTTTTTCTTCAATACCTGAATAAATCATCGTTACAAATTGTGGAAATTGTGGCAGTCGAAATGATGTATACACATATTTGCAGACAGGCTTTCGCGATATTGCGAGATTCTAGCTTGATGCCAACCGTCTTTGCCAAATTAATTAAATTAACATTATAAGTAGCGTCAGTTTGCGTGCACGGTATACCTGTGGGAATTTTGTTGGCAGGATCCCGGACACGCTCTGCGCCATATCCAGGGACTGCCGACTCCCTCGGTAGTCAGATTCATGCTTGAGTGCCTCGAACTCAACGTGAAAACCTTGAACTATATTATATGGCACGAGTATCATACGGAGCTATGCGCAAAAAGCCCATCAACTCCGCGGTATATATATTAAAATGCATCCTTTTGAGAAAAAAAAAAATGTATACGATAAAAATTCTCGTCTATCGGATATAAATTATCGCGTTTAATCTTGTTTCTTTTTTGACTCTTTTTTACTATCTCCCTTTTCGATTACATATGCATCTAGAAGAGCCCGCCTCTCCTTGTAATATAAAAATAAATAACCGGTTTGTACAAAGTATCAAACAACTTAGGTAGAAGATGTCAAATGTCAAGCGCAAATGTTACGCGAAAAAATAATCATAAATATCCCGCACGGCTTCAAATCTTATCTTCTTATAATCTCGTTTTTATCATTAGAATTAAATAATTCCCCGTTATCTTATTATGTTGTATCTACAGGAGTGGCTTATAAATATACATCATATCGCTCGTATAAAAGATTGGATCAGCATTTCACTTGATAAAAAATTGATTCAATAGGTCGATGAACCGATCGCGGATTCGCGATTGCGACGAAAATAGTACGATCATCCCTTGCAAATCCGTCCATCCTACCCGTCTTAAGGACGCCCTGACAAGAGACGAAATTCCGCGCGCGCGTTATTACAGCGGATTCCGTCGCGGCCGTTCGCCCCGACGCGTCGCGCCGTCCACGAGGCCCTGCCGGCGCGGCAGCTCAACACAGGGGTTGCAGGGGTTGCCGACGCCGGTTGAACGCGGCGGGGGTGGCTGCGGGGAGAAGGCGAGGGGAAGAAGGGTAGCGGAGCGCCTGGAGGGAGGCACGCCGGGCGTCGCGGCGCAGCCTGCCGCACCCAGCAAAGCGCCTGCTTCCCTTGAACCGGCAAAACGTATACCTGACGACGACGACGACGACGACGACGACAACGACGACGATAACGCCGCGCGTCCGCGCGTCGTCCACGCTGTTGCTAGGTGCGTTACTAACTCCGTCCCCGTCGATCATCGCGCACCGACGCCCACGCCGGGTGCCCATTCGTTCGCGTCGCGACGCCGTCGCGCGTCCGAAATCACGAAATCCGGGACCTTCGAGCGAGTCAAGGTCGCTGCGCGTTGCATCGAAACGTATTCTCGGATCGCGCGATAACGTTGTGTGGAAAATACGCGTGTGTGTCGCTAAATCCTTGATTTCGTCGAGCGTTAACGTGGTTGAAGTGATATTGAGAAAAAGGATCAACGCGCGAACGTGATCGGGAGGGGATTTTCTTAATGATCTTTCGTTTGCGAGGTAATGAATTAATCGGGTTAATAATTCCAAGGATGATTGTTAGATCGAGCAAGTTTTTGAAAGACAGTGAAAGAAAGGGAAGATGGATTTTATAAATGATGATTCTTTCGGTAGAACTCTTCTGACCAAGTTATTGTTTCGTCTAAGGGGAAAGTGAGATAAGATATTGATTGACAAAAATTCCGCGGCATCCCAATTCCTCTCGAGATGATATCGTTGTTTTTACAAAGCAAAGGAATTTGTCAATTTAATTCTTTTTTAAATCAAATTTTTTTATCACATATATTTGCTCGTAAATTAATTTCAAGAAAAATGATCTCATCGTTGATTAACATTGTTCATAAGTCGTTTTCTTCAGATGTCGCCTGAGATGGAACTTTTCAGAAAAGAAAACTAGTTTCCTGAAGAATAAAGTTAGGTCGCGATTTTAAAGCTTCAAAATTTCAAGACTGACGATATTAATACATGAACATAAGTTCGGAGAAGGTCGATGAGTCGGAAAATCTCGGGGATCATTTTACTGCGTCTAGTACGGCCGGAAGCGCTTCAAAGATAAAGGCCGGGGTCGATGGGTGGTCCGACGATGAGAGGTGGAAGATTTCGTAGCGCGATGTCAAGGTTGCACGACCTTGGTTCGGTCGGTGACACGGACGACGAAATTCCGTAAAATCGGGCGTGTCGCGCGATGCCTCTCGTGTAAGCTTCCCGTCTCTCTCATTAAGGGTACCGTATGTCCTCCCTGTTCGTTGAAATCTCTAATCTTGATTCTTTCGGAGACATGAGAATTCCTACAAGTACATTGCGCTTAACACACATTTATCTCTATATAAAATTATGCTAATGAAATGTAGAAATTTTGCTGAGAATGTCAATACATCTCTTTCTTTTATTTTTTAAATTTTTATGATTATTTTTTATACTTGCAAATATATATATTTTTCTTGGGTAACATTTCTGTAATGTACATTTGCTTCTTTAAGAATTCTTATTAAATATCTCGTGCTATTCTGCGGAGTATAATAGTCCTGCGTTAAGTTTCGCGGTTACTCCTCAAATTTTTTAATGATAGGGTAGACGCAGTATTCGAGTTACAAGTTCTATTATATATTTCAATTCAGAGTTTTTATCGCAAGACGATCTCGAACTACTCGAAAGTTCATCGACCCATATAGTTTCAATTTGCGGCAATACCGGCTTTATGATCTACGTAGGCGTAACTTTGTAAAATCTTACGAGAGCAAACTCTCGGATTTTTGAGATCATATACGAAAATTCGTGAAAGTTTACGAACAAGGCTAGATAAGAATAATTTAAGGAGTCACTGATATATCTCGCATAAATTAAAATTAAAAATCTGCTTAATCTCTATCAATTACTATCAATTATATTGATATAAGAACAGAGAAGGTATTTTCAAAGTTTTCTCGATAGAATAAGTTTTGATATTTATTTGATTACAGATCATCCTCGCATGTGTAATATTTTTATTTCGATTAAAAATATATTTCGAAGTTATTTCGAAATCTTTTTTAAGGCCTTCTATGTAATTCAAATTATAAGAATAATGATTTATTTGGCAAAGAAATAAAATTTTATTATAGAGAGAATGCACACGCAACATTACTAAATTGAGAATTAAGATAATCACACAAGTTAAATTTTATATGTGTGTATATATATATAATTATTATTATTATTATACACAATCGCGTACGACTTTAGAGTAGAAATATCGGCGATTTGTCAAGCAGTTGACATAGCCAGGCTGGCTTGTGATAGCAGGGGGGTTGCAATGCGGTGTTTGGGCTGCAGTGACTGCAGGCAGGCTTAGGCGGTGTCCCGCAGTTGGGGTAGGTTAGGTACCGCTTCGTACATATATGTGCGTCCGCACGCGATGCCCTTATCAGTCGTAAAGTTTCTTAGCGGAAGAAGACAGCGGAACGTTCCTCGTGCATCGAATGTAGATAGCGTGCTTCACCAGGTCACGAAGACGCCGCGTCCGTCCCGTCGAAAAATATAGAAGCGACTCTACTATTTCCTCTTTTCCCTTTGCAAGAACGATCGTGGCGTTCGTAAAATTGCAACTAAAAATCTAGATTGTGTAACGTAAAATTAACATGGCAAGATTTTTTTTTATATTCGGTTTACTCTATATCGATTCAGCTCGGTGCTGTTTCTCAAACTGCTTGTGATTTGTTGCTGATCTTATGTATTTATTATATACACATTTTTCGAACAAATTTAAAAAAATATTTTTTATAATATAGATTTTAATAAAAAATATCAAAAAATACAATTTACGATTTCACATCTTATACATATTCAACAGATTATTATCGTACGTCTTTATATTAAGTTTTTTTATCATAATTGCATTGATTACATAGACATCGTTATAAACGTCGTATTTTCTCGAAATCCGATTACAATCGGTATAATAGGAAAAACAAGACAAACATCACGAAAGAATATAGCGGGGGTCGTTGATCCAAGAAGAACACGCCTGGGGACACAGTCCTTTAGCGCACCTGTCGCCCGACTATATGTACCGAACGTATCGATTCGGCGAGAACCGAGACGAAACAGCAGAGCGATTGTGAAAATAGAAGATCGACCCGGATGTTCATTTAATTCCGTCTCACGCGGAACGACGCGCCATAAATCCATGTCATACGACAGGATAGAGGAAAGGGAATTCTTTTGATTTATTCGATATTTGATGATCCAATTTCGTCGTCGACGGACGAAAGAGTGCGTGCCGATAAACATGAGTGGTTGAACATTAATCGCTTGAATCCACGAACGAGAGAACTTTTCGGGGGAAAAGTGCCGCGGAATACATATCCTAGGACTCTTGGATCCTCGCCATCAGAGATCTCGCATATTTTAGCTCCGTGCACTGTGCTTCGCCGTGGTGAGATTTAAGTGGTGGGTGATGATAAGTGACCCACCCCCGTTTCGAATGAAGTGGTTTTAGGATGATGGTGGAGCGCGTCGAGGATCACCTCTTCATGTATCGACGCCCCGTCTACCGCGTCTTCCAGTACCTCGAAACCACCGAGTAAGTATACGAAGCGATCACGTCTCTATACGAGAGACCTCATTATCTGTCAGCGTTACACTGAGAGAAGAAGGGCCGTGATAATCTAGGTAAAGTAAGTAATTAGCGGAGAGTCTTGAATAATCCATACGGTTTTTTTTTCCGGAATAAAAATATTACTCGATTCAATCGTTTAAATAGATGATACGCTCGTCCGCGATCCGAGATCATTTTGAAAAAAAATCGATAATTAGTGGCGAGAATGTCTAATAAATTTCGAATATAATGTCATGCCGGATGGTTTGTGGTAAATTGACTAGCGTGAAATAACACTCTATTAGCTCCAGCCCGTTGAGAATCAGGTGTTTAAACAAGAGATTTGTCTCGTTCGAGGAACAGCTCGCGTGCGTAAAGGCTTTGAAGGCTTCTTCCAATCCGCGAATGAAGATATGAGAAGATATATAATAGTGCAAGTGCGTAAAGAACATGGATGCGGAAATAGAGGCAGGGACACAGAAAGAAAGGTAGAAAGAGATAGAGAGAGAGAGAGAGAGGAAGGAGCAAGCTCTCCCGTGGAGTATGTTCCTTTCGGGTTTTCCTGTTAGGTCGATGCCAGGTAACCATGGCAAAATTGTAGCCATCAACCACAACTCGCTCGTAACCGCCGCTAATTGACATCATTAACAATGCTTTCATATAGCAGGACGTCGCTTTGCCTAGAATTCCGCGTTTCTTGGAATATATTGAAATTGAAATCCTCTCCGTAACCGTCTAACACTGATGATTAAAGTAATATATTTCTCAAATTTACTTGCGCAGAAATAATGATGAATCAAAGAAAAATGATTTCTTATTGGTGACCTTAACGTTCGAAAACTAGGATGTCGGGTGATGTTGCAGCCGTTAATTATTATTATCGTTCGGTATTTCATATTAATTGACATCAAGATTTATTTCGATGAGGTGGAAACCTCACATAGAATTTTCTTTATCGAAGAATATTATTTGATATCTGAATATATATTATATTGCAAAAAATAAATTTAATATTAATTTTTCTGATTGATTTATCTCTCGATATCGAAGAGGCTAGACTAACTCTAATAAAGGATACGGATAAATCATATCGCGCACTTTTCAAGTATCATAAGAGGAGGACAGGGGAGTCGCACAGGTGAACGGTTATATAGAAATGAGAAAAGTTGGTCCACCGCGGAATTCCGCGTGGGGAGAGAACCGAGACATAACGAACAACTTTCAAACGAGACGTCTGCCGCGATTCACAAGTGGCACGAAGACCGACGCTCTCCCTTCGCAGTAACTTGAAATTGTTACCGAGTCTCACTTTGCCTTGGAAACTACTTAGCCTGATAATACAAACGAGAAAGCCTCATCGTTGTTACGCGATTCGCCATTACGCGAAATTACTTCGCCCGATGCCAACTTTATCGCAAGTTCACGAGGCGAAACTCGAATTCGTTTGATCAATTATGCTCGTTAATGGAAGTACAAACACGATACACAGTCGATCGCGACGTTTCGCAATCGTAATTTCGAAATTGTCGAGCCATGTAACGGCTTCGAAGAAATCTGAATCTCATCTCTGTGGCGAATGTCTCTCATCAGCGTCGTAAAATCGGTACATCGATCGGAGCACTCCGTACTTTTGTGAGGTTGAACGAGCGGCCGCGACGGCCGTTAATTTTAGAAGGACCATGGTTTTTTTACGCGTCTACACCACAACAGAATCGTCGGACAATTTTTGCGCCGGGAGCATCGACCTTCGATTTTATAGCTCGTGTAGGGGCTGGGATTGA